CTGGGATTTATGTTTGTATCTGGAAAAATAATTCATATGTTAATTTTTTTAGGACGATTTACAATGATTTTTTAAACAAAGTAGCATATTTTCATTTCATGCGTGTATTGAGGTTATGTTGAGTCAGTATAAGAAATAAAATCAGTATAAAATTAATATTCGGGTATAATGGCATCAATGTATTTACTTTTACATGTTTTTCAGTTTTTACTTTTTTTTTGAGCCTGTTTCTTGATTTTTCTGGAAAATAACCAAGAATCGGACTTTTTTTTTAGGTTAGAACAATGTATATTATACTCCCCTATAATTTTCCTATATTATGCATTAAGTGAACTACAACATCCAAAAAGAATTATCAATCTATCTATTTCCGTTCGCGAGTTCTACGATTTTGGAACGAAAAAACCCGTTTTTGCCTACTGTGCGCCACACAACCCAGGGCGCTTACTGATCGCTTTAATTATTAGTAATAAATTGAAAAATTAGGCCATCGCCAATTTGCGCAGAACCCGGGGCTCTTACTTGTCGATTTCAATATTATCAATAAATAAAGTAATAACGCAATCGCCACTTCTCACACAAATCAAGGCACTTACCACTCACTTACTTACTTAACAATAAATACAAAAGTAATGCAATTGCCAATTTTTACAGAACCCGGGGCACTCACTAGTCACTTCGATTATTATTCAGAAATAAAACATTTAGGCCAAAGCCAATCTCCGTACAACCCGGGGTGCTTACTGGTCAATTTTATTATTATTAAGAAACAATATAATTAGGTCAGCGCCAATCTCCGCACAACCCTGGATGCTTACTGGTCGCTTACTTACTTAACAATGAATAAAATAATGAGGCATGCGCCAATCACCACACAACCCAGGGCGCTTACTGATCGCTTAAACTATTAGTAATCAATTGAAAAATTAGGCCAGCACCAATTTGCGCATTACCCGGCGCTTACAAGTCACTTTGATAATTATTAATAAATAAAATTAGGCAAGCGCCAATCTGCGCACAACCCGGGACGCTCACTCGTCGATTTCAATATTATCAATAAATAAAATAATACTGCAAGCGCCAATCCTTACACAAATGTAAGCACTTATCAGTCACTTACTTACTTAACAATAAATAAAAAAATAATGCAAGTGGCAATTCCAACACAACCCGGGGCGCTTACTAGTCAATTTGATTATTTTTAATAAATAAAATAATTAGGCCAGCGCCAATCTCCGCACAACTTAAGATGCTAACTGGTCACTTACTTAATTAACAATAAATAAAATAATAAGGCCAGCACAAATCACCGCACAACCCAGGGCGCTCACTGGTCGATTAAATAATTAGTGATAAATACAAAAATAAGGCCACTGCCCATCTCCTCACAACTCGGGACGCTTACTAGTCGCTCACTTACTTAACAATGAATGAAATAATAAGTCAAGCTCCAATCTCTACACAACCTGGGGTGCTTATTGGTTTTTTACTTACTTAACCATAAAAAAAAAAAATTAGGCCAGTGCAAATTACCGCACAACCGAGGGCGCTTACTGATCGCTTTAATTATCAGTAATGAATTAAAATATTATACCAGCGCCAATTGGCACACAACCTTGGGTTCTTAGTAGTTACTTTAATGATTATTAATGAATAAAGGAATTTGGCAAGCGCCAATCTGCGCACAACCAGGTACGATCACTTGTCGATTTCAATATTATCAATAAATAAAATAATAACGCAAGCGCCAATACTCGCACAACTCAAGGCGCTTACCAGTCACTTACTACTTAACAATGAATAAAAAAATAATGTGCCCATTCCCACGCAACCCGGGTTGCTTGCTGTTTACTTCACCAGTAAGCCCCCTGGGTTGTGTGGGTTTTGGCAGTTTCCTTATTATTTTACTTATCACTGATAATTAGATCCACCAGTAAGCGTCCTCGGTGGAAGGGAGATTGGCGCATGCCTTATTTTTTTTATTTATTGTTAAGTGACTTAACGACCAGTAAGCGCTTTGGGTTGTGCGGTGATTGGCGTTTGCCTTATTTCGTTATTTATTGTTAAGTAAGTAAGTAACCTATTAGTGCCCCGGATTGTGCGGTGATTGGCGCTTACCTTATTTCGTTATTTATTGTTAAGTAAGTAAGTAACCTATTAGTGCCCCGGATTGTGTGGCGATTGGCGCTTACCTTATTTTTTTTTTTTTTTTTTTTTTTAAATACCTACTTGCGTAGTGTATTTATTTTAAAGCTTTATGAAGTCCTTAAAGGCTTTTATAGCTAAAGTATTATTACATTATGAGGTACATTGGGTTAGAACTTAAAACTAATCCTTAATCCTAAGCTGGTGTCGTGGATTGGATTCCGGAAAAGACCATGAGAAAAAATCTGAGTGCCCCAACCGGGAATCGAACCCACGATCNATTTATTTTTAAGTAAGTAAGTGACCAGTAAGGGACCCTGTTTGTCCGGGGATTGGCGCTTGCCTTATTATTTCGCTCATTAATAATAATTAAATCGACCAGTAACTTTCCCGTGTTGTGCAAGAATTGGCATTCGCTTTATTATTTTGCTTTATAATATTAACTAATTCGACCAGTAAGCGCCCCGGGTTGTGCGGGGTTTTGCGCTTGCCTTATTTTTCTATTTATTACAAATAATTTAATCGCCCAGTAAGCATCCTAG